GCTCCCCCCGGCTCCCCACACCCCGGCGGGCAGCGGAGCCCCAAAGGCTCAGGCCGCGGGACGTACAGCCACTCCCCAGAGCCCCTTTGCCTCCTCCTCGCACAGCACCCATGCCATCGCCTCCTCCCAAGTCACTCTTTCTCCCTGTGTCACCCTCTGCCAGCTTTGCCCCCTCGGCACAGGGCTTGGGGGAGCCTCACGCAGAGCCCACGGACCAGGGGTGGTGGCTGGGCTGGGGAGGGTTCAGGACTGACTCACTGCGGCGCTGGGACACTGCCGGGGGCGCACTGGGGTGACTGGTCAGGGAACCTGGAAAGAATGGGGCTGGAGCAGAAGTGAAGGAGGATTTGGGATGATCGCTGCCTGGGTAGGGTAGGAGCAGGGAGGACTGGGGGCAGAAGGGGACCTGCAGAGCCCCGGGAAGGGCAGCTCGCCCGGGAGGGAGAGCCAGGGTGCGCTGGCTGGGCTCTGGGAACCAGCCCCGGGCCCTCGGGGACAGCACACTCTGCTTCCTTCCTCTGCAGCACCCAAATCTTGAACATCAATTATTTTGAAACAGCAATGTTTAGCACAGGTAAGTAATGTTGGCTCTGCAGCCTGCTCCAGTGCAGAATCACACGCTTGCAACAGCAGCCGCCGCACGTGGCAAAGCGCAGCAGAGCTCGGCGATGCCTCCTGGCCCAGAGCCCGCCCAGAGCTCCTGGGCAGGGAAGAGGAGGAAGAAGGGATGGAGATACAGCTAGCCTGGAGAGGGCTGAGCACAAAAACCTCCTGCCCAGCTCTGACTGTCAGCAGAGACTTATTTTTGTGGGCAAAACCTTTTTGTGCCCTTTCCTGAGAGGATCAGGGAGACACAGACCGGAGTTGGCACGAACAGTTCCCATCTCCCCTCGCTTCTCCTGCACTGATTTCTTTTAATTAGTTTTCCTGAAGGAGAGAGGAAAGGAATGAGTTATCGCAGCAAACGTAAGAGACCTGGAGCCTTTCCCAGGTCAGAGCTTCCCCCAAGCTCATGGGGCCCAGCTGTGTTTCTGCATCAACTGAGAGGAAGCCAAAAATAAAGGAGAAACCCACATTGTAACAGAAGTGGAGCTGTGCAGCAAGAGGGCAGCTGCGGGAAGGTGAGAAGATGGAGGAGCAGAGGAGCTGATGGGACTGACTCTGGAAAAGGGAAGCTTGGGCATTAGTCCAGAGTTGGAAAGTGTTATCTCCCTTTTTTGTGGGCATTGTGCTGTCCTATGCCATCCCCAGGGAAATCATCCCACTCCCAGGAAGGGAGATTATAGCTGATTTGAATCAGCCTTTGCCCCTCTCCAGGCTTGCTCTGGAAGCTGTGAGACCTGTTAGCATGTGAAGGGAGGTGGCTGGATCTGCAGGAGCGCTGGGATCTCTCTTTGCCTCGAGTCATTTGCCTCTAGTTTCTTAAATAACATCCATAAATAGCAAAAGCGGATGTTGATCAGGTTATCAGGCGAATTCCCAAATTTCAGGGAGCGTCTGTGCTCCTGCAGTATCGCCCAGGGCAGCCCACTGCAGGACACTGGGGACTGAGCACAGAGGGTCTGGCTCTGCAAATAAATAGCACTCAGAAAATAACTACAGATAAGTCAGATGTGCAGCACAAAGGGTTCTGCAAACTGAGAAGTTCTGTTATTTATTCTCCCGATTGCTCATTAGAGGGGAAGAGCAGCCACACAACCCCGCTGATCAATGCCCTTTGAGCAGCAAGGGCCAAACCCTGCCTTCTTAAGGCTGATACATCCCCTTACAAGCACCATCTCCAGTTTTGTGAAGCTTTGTCAGACTTGCAACTGCTCAGGCTTAAATCTTGTGCTGAGTATTTACCCTTGAAGAAAATTTCAGCTAAAAGTTCAGCTGCTGCTGAGAGCAGGGTCTGGAAGAAAATACTCTGGTGACAAGCCTGGCAATGGGCCACTTGCAAACTGCTTCTTCAGAAACCAGTGGTGTGATGACACCCCTAAACACAGCTCTACCCCCAACCCCCACCCGGAGAGGAGGATGCTGCCACCTCAGCCTGCCTCAGATGGTCCTTCCTGCAACAGCAGCCCCATGCTTCCAGCCTCTGCTCATCAGGTTGGGAAGGACTCTTAGCTTCCGTCAAAACATGACTGCGTCAGTGGACTGACAGCTCTACAAGATTTTTTAAGTGGTGCTGAAGAGCAGTGTCTGGCCTTGAAAAAGTAGGTGACAAAACCAAGCTCTATTAGGTTAGAAAAACAACATTTTAATATATCTCAGGTGTTGATCCATGAGGAATTTGACTATTTGACTCAGCAACACTGATGTGATCCCACTGTAGCAACCCTGTGCATCTCTTGCATTGGTACAAACCACTGCACCCACTCCTGTGTTACAGTTGCTTATAATTATATATATATATATGTACATGTGATGTATACATGCATATATCAAACTCCTCCATATATATATACCGAGACACAGCTCACCAGATAGTGTTTCCAGAGCAGCAGCAAGCAGCACTGCCCGCATGTCCAACCAAGGACCCTCTAAAACTCCAGAGGTCATTTAAAAGAAATTTGTTCTCTAAGTACTGAAACAGCAGATAGCAGAGGTGTGCATCAGTGAGCCATGCTGGCTTTGCCCCGGTTTGAAAGGAAAAGCAAAAAGTCTTAGCAGGGCCAGGACAGGCCTGCACAAGCCTCAGGCTGGGATGGGGTCACCTCCAGGAAACTTCTCACCCTCATGTGTGGAAAGCAGCTGGACGAACTTGCCCTTCTCCATTCAAAGAGGCGAAATTCAGGCAAATTTTTCTCCGATTCTGCAGCGGGTTACTGTAAAACTCACAAGTGTGCTAAGGCAGAGAGGTAGAGGCTTCAGGTTGGTGCGAGCTACATGGTGTGAGCCCTTTATTTGGGGGCACCGAATCTTCTCCCCTTTGTGGGGCTGAGGCTCCTCCACGTGGGCACCCCTTCCCTCCACGCTCCTGCTGCAACTAACGTAAGGGTGTAATTTTCATAGCAGAAATAGAGACTCGCGTGCGTCCTCCTCCCTCTTCCCACAGGAGAAAAGCGCAGCTGGGCCTGGATGAGTCACGCTGCAGGAGCCGAGATGGATGACACCCCCTTCCACACACACATATGTACCCACGAGGGATGTGCTGACCCGTCCGGGTGATGGATGGGGCAGCGGGAGCTCTCCCTGCAGCAGGGATGCTGCTCACGGCCGGGCTGCAGCGCCCTCGGAGTGGGGAGAGGCTCTGGAGCCTGGCTGTCAGGACTGCAGCAAAGAGCTGCGAGAAGGCAAGAAAAACCTGGAAACAGAAGTTTCTGTTTCCAAGGAATAGAAAAAGAGCAGAGAGGGTTAATGGCTTTGGTGGGCAATGGAAAGATTGTTTTGAGCAGTAATCCAGATCCCTAGGAGGGAAACAGAGTTGAAGTGAAAAAGGATGAGGAACTCAGGATCTTTCTAAAACAGATTAATTACTCCATTTTTTAAGTAAGAAAATCCAGAATCAAATATGCTGCTGACCACCACCAGGGAAGGCCAGGGGGAGCGAGGTGCAGGAGGCGATGCACATCAGTGCCCAGCACTGGGGCAGCAGGAAGGAGTTTTATGGTGGGGGTCCATAAGTAACCAGAGACACTAACATCAACTTTTTAAAGTAGATGTTAGAAAGCCAAAATGATCTGGAGACCACACGGAAATGCTAAAATAAAGAAGTCAGGGCCAGGATGCACACACCCACACCCTGCTTGCTCTGCTTACAGCTTCCCCACGCATAGCCCATCACTCTGCCAGCTGCTCAGGATGGGTCCTGCATGGCCAGGGTGGCCCACACCTCCATCCTGGAGCCAGTACCACTGTGTAGAAGGGGTTTTAGATGAAGGAATTATGCCTTATTTTTTCCAGAAACTAGTAGGTAATGGGCCTGGAAACAAGAACAGAAAACAACATATCTTAGGGCAAATAAAACTTTTGGGCAAAGATAATCAAAGATAATCTCTGCTAAACAATTAATTTATAACCCTGCACTAGTCAAAGAAATAATATATATGCTCAGCTTGTTTCTCATTTTCAGGACTCACAGCTCAGTATCTTGGGGCCTGAGTTGTAGAAATCCAGCAAACAGCAGCCCTGAAGTTTGTGAGAAGTGTGCTCTGAACCCTCACTCATTTAAAAACTAAATACCAACAGATCACACACATTGACATCACACAGAGGAACTGTAAAAAAACAACCTAATACCAAAACCCAAGATAACTCACAGAAGTTTGTAAGAGCTAAGATATCCCCACAAGGCTTTTTCCCCTGTGGCTCTGTGAGGAAATGAGAAATTCTGCCTTTTTTTAGGCTGGTTCGGTTACAGTTCATGCACGAGCCACACATTAGATTAAGACCAGGGCAAGAAATACCGAGTAGCTATTTATTGCACAACTATCCCCCATAATAAACAACCTTTGACTGCAATGAAAAGTTGTCATGAAGCAAGAACAGGTGAACATGGCATCAACAACCATGTAGCCCACCGCCATAGATGGTCCAAATCACAGCTGCAACACAGGACTGGGGCTTCTTCTGAGCTCTCGACTGCAACTTCAGCAGTTTTAAGGTAGCCATTACATATAGGCATTGAATATACCCAATCCATGGACTCGCAAAAGCTACCTAAATACAGAAGAGCAGCTCTTAAGTGCTAAAAAGCTGAAAGCCTGGAGGGAGAGAGGAATCATCTGGGAGAGGAAATGGTGACATCTAGATTTACTGGAGGCAGCGGCTGTGCCGGGAAACACAGCCACCTCCTGGCACTGGCAGTGCAAGACACACACCCCGGGCAGTGCCTGCATGGTCGCTCAGCACATGCCGTCACACCCTAGCAGAGGTAGCATTAAGTTTTGAGCGGCTCTGTTAATTTTAAGATAAAGAACAGGGAAGAAACTCCTCACACAGCAGGAAAGATTCATTAAGGAAGCACAGGTGGCCTCTCACAGTCCATTTTAAGTTGCGTAAAACTGGAAAATAGGCAGCAAAATAAATCAGGAGGCACGGTCTTGGATTCTAGTGACCTAAGAAGTATTTTCCAGGTCTATGATTCAGCAAAAGGAAAAAAAAAAAAAAGGCGGGGGAATAAAGCAGCAACAGCCACCAGGAAGTGTGGGTCTGAAAATAGCAGCAAAGTGTCACCTTGATCCACTCCAACAAGGGCTTCTGCAACAGTGACAAGTTGCTAGGTGACATCGCCCTGCTATTTTGGGTCCGTGTCATTACGCTGCTTGGTGAGCCCCCCTGGAGCATCTCCCAGCACCGACGGCTCAGCACAGGCGGGGAGACCGGCGCCAGCCTGCCAAAGGAACTTCCGAAACAGGGATGGCTTTTGAAATTAGAGATTCGTGTGTCTTACAAGAAAGATGCTTTCCTGTGGATTTAAATATAGATAGGAGCAGATGGAAAAGAATTATTATATCATGTGCCTGGCAGGAGCTCTGGTCCTTCGCAGCGCTGGGGCAGGCTGAGCGCATACAGACCTCCCGTGGCGCCTTCTGCTGCTCCTCTCCTGTCACCCATCAGCTGACTGCCCCACGGTACACCTCAGCAAACACTCCACACAAACAATACTGAGAACTAGGTATGATGTAAAAACAGGAAAAAACAGTGAACTAGGAGTAGAGCTGATCTACAGCAGCTTTGTTGATGTCCTCTGCCCCTGAAGAAGATGCTCTGGATACCTGCACGTGGACAGCTTTGGGCAGGCGCTGCCCGGAGAGCTGGACACCAGCAGAGCTTAGTCTGACTCACAGGGCATGCACACTAGATAATAGTACATTAGAATAAGCTATTTGACTGCAATTGGTGCTTTAAAAAAACCAACCAAACAACCACAAAATAATGCCATTTTCATTGTCATAAGCAAAACTGAATTACTCTTTGTATATGAAGACCGTGGCACTCGCACTGCTAGGAAGAAGGGAAACATCGTTATATGATTCAAATCATTAATGGTCTGTTCCTTCAAACAACTCCATTAAATCCAGTGGGTTTGCTTTTGCAAGGACAACACAATCACTGCCGAGAGCTTTGTCACCCTCAAGGAGAAGCCTCCAGAACAGCGGAGTCCCAAACACCATTTAATGTTAGTCAAATCCATGTAGTTAAGATTGATAATAGTTTACAAGGATTTTGCCAAACACCCCATATTTCCTAATGACACTAAAAATGAGCCTTGCAGGCTCACAGAAACACAGGGCTATGTTTAAATTTATATGCCTAAACTTGTTAAAATACAAAAGAATACTATGCCTGATTCATCCCCGCATCCAGCAATTTGAATTCCGTCCCATTACACAGCCAGCACAGAATTGTAATTAAAGCACTGCAGACTATTTATGGTTTCATTAATTTTTTAAAAGGCTTTTTTTGTTTGAGGTTGTGGTTTTGGTGGGGTTTTTTTAGTTATCATTCTTGTGCTCTCTCCTTCTGTGTATTCATGTGTCTGGTTGGTACAAATACTCGATTCCTCCTGAAGGCAGTGAGACCAGCAAAAAGCCCATGGCCTTGTGTGACAGCACTGAGCTGCCCAGCACTTTCAAAAGCAAGATTTACTGCTAAGATATCCTGTAAGAAACTTCATCTCAAAAGTGAAAAGTGTTGGATATTCTGAAATTTAGAACCTGAAGCAGGAAAAAAAAGCTCCGAATGGGTGAGATCCCCAGTTAATTCACTTTTCCAAATTCCAAAGCTACAAGGCTTTGGTGCCAGCTGCATCAAGAGACACAGCACAATGGTTTTACTACAGGAAAAAGGATGGCAAGCTGCTACAGAGGTGCAGTGCAACATAATTTACTGTGCAACTTCCCTTGTGGGGGATAAAGCAACCCTATTTTGAAGTCTTACTGACTTGAATGTGTGCACTGTCTCCCTTGTTTTCTTCTTAAACTGGAGATAAAATGAGACTAATAAATTGCTTCCCACTACAACATGCAAGGGCTGAAAAAATCCTAATCAGCAGGCATGAGCACAACTGGGAGTTTGTGTTCTCAGAAACCAGGAGGGAAGATGTTAGACAGGCTTTTCTCTAGAGTCAGTCTCCTCCACTGACTCACAGCTTGCTTCTGTTTGCTTTTTCCCTATCCAAACTCCAGATCCACTGATTATCTTTCTTGTTCTGTCTAAAAATAAGTCAAACATCTCCGTTTGCCTGTCTAAATAGCCCACTGCTGTAATTTCTTGCCTTCTGAAATTACAGTTCAAAACTCGCTTTTAAATTTTTCCCTCCAATTACCAACTCTTTATACCCTGGCATACATGACACACAGCTTCCCGGTCTCTTCTGTCTAACTGGGCTCAGATTAATTAACAAGCAATAGATTTTTCTTGATTACAATGCTAAAATCCTTCTTTCTTCACAAACTAAAACCAAGATGATAGATCTTTTTTTTCTGAATGGTGGTTCTGATGTTACAAAAATAGTATTCAATCTGTATGGTGGATAATATAAGATTTAATAAGTATTTAATGAATTGTTTTCATGTCGGACTGAGTCATGATTAGGGGTTTTGTTTTGTGAGGTTGTTTTTAATGGAAGTGAAGGAGGACTAGGAAGCTTCCAGTGAAACCAGGTGTCAACTGTGTAGCGTCAGTGTACATACTTGAGAAAAAAAAACAGACAAACCCCAAGAGGTCTTCCTCCAGAAATCATACATGTGGCAAAATCAAGCTAATGAGAAAGTGAAATAATATCAATCTCATTTTATAGATATAAAGTGAAGAGCCCCTGGTTTCAGATCCATCATGTGCTACAGCCTCTCAGTGACCCCCCCTGGTGATAGAACTCGGGACTGGAAATGCGCACCGTGAACTAGCTGCCTGCCTGCAAAAAATCCACACTGGCCCCTTCTTCTGGCTTTCAAAAAGCTGTTAAGGCATTTCCAGCTCATTGCGTACAGTATACTGAGAATTAAATGCCTTGGGACAGTCTGGACAAGCGCTACGCATCCTGCATTACCCACGTTCAGCATCCTCAGCATGGTTTGCACCCACATTTAACCCAACAACACTTTTATGAGAAGCAGACAAAACTTCTCAGCAAGCTTCAGCTGGAAATCCCAAGCTCATGCTGAATTCTGTAACTCAGGGAGATATTGATTTGAGTATAATTAAAAAAAAAAAAAAAAGATGTGTGTGGAGGACATATAGCTCCCCCCACTATTTCTACAGGCTTTCTGTCTCAGCATTTTATAGCACCATTGCTCTTTCTAGAAACCCTTGACGGGCACAAGAGTGCAGCTGCCCGACAAGTTGCTGATTCAGGCATTAATACCTCAGACTTGACGGCATGTAGTGTTTTAATTAAGTAAACTGCTCTCTAGAGCTCACAGAAAGCTCATTTGGAGAACACCACCACCAGCAAATTTGTCACGTACAGAGAGCACTGGGAGTTTTCCCCCCAGTTCAACAGCATCTTAAACTGCTTGTTGGCGAAATTCCCTTATGCTCATACAGTTCCTCTGGTTTTGCCTCTCCAAGCTGCAACCTGTGCTCCAGGCCCAGGCAGTCGGGGAGTTCCTCCTGCCCTTGCCCCAGGGGTGGGACCCTGCGGCTCGGGCCATACATGCAATCATTTCAGCAGCCCACAGGCTCCATCACTGCTCACACGCTGGCAGACCCCTCAGAGAGGCTAGAAGAGGTGGGACATTCCTCCACACCACTTTTGGTGAGATCTCCCTTACCAAGACGCAAATTATTTCTGGTTTAAATAGAGATATCCCTGAAGGCAGACTGTTTAGTCTCTACATGCTGTATCTCTTAAGGGGGGGAGCCCGGGCCAGCACTTGGTGGCGTATCTGATAACAGCTGCAGGATAAACCCCTTGAAGGTTTCTACACAACGAACATCCAGACTAACCAAAGATGACTAGTGCATGTGGAATCCTACAAGAGGTCTGCTGAGTTTCACTGAGGCCAAATGCTGAGTTCTGCCCTTGGGCCACAACAACCCCCAGCAGGGCTACAGGCTTGAGGAGGAGTGGCTGGAGAGCTGCCAGTCAGAGGGGGACCTGGGGGTATTGATTGACAGCCGGCAGAACAGGAGCCAGCAGTGTGCCCAGGGGGCCAAGAAGGCCAATGGCATCCTGGCTTGCATCAGCAATAGCATGGCCAGCAGGGACAGGGAAGGGATCTGACCCCTGTACTGGGCACTGGTGAGGCTGCACCTTGATGACTGTGTTGTTTTGGGCCCCTCACCCCAAAAAGGCCATTGAATGACTCGAGCGTGTCCAGAGAAGGGCAACGGAGCTGGGGCAGGGTCTGGAGCACAGGTCTGCTGGGGAGCGGCTGGGGGAACTGGGGGGGTTCAGTCTGGAGAAGAGGAGGCTGAGGGGAGACCTCCTGGCCCTCTGCAACTCCCTGACAGGAGGGGGCAGAGAGGGGGGGATGAGTCTCTTGGACAAAGGAACAAGCGCCAGGACAAGAGGGAATGGCCTCAAGCTGCCCAGGGCAGGGTCAGGCTGGCTCTGAGGAAGGATTTCTGTGCAGAAGGGGTTGTTGGG